GGGGGGGGAGGAGGAAAAAAAGTTAGCAGTTTTGCTGGCTACACCAGCAGATAAATGCACATCCAACACTTACGGCAAACTCCATGGGGGAAAATATTGTCATTTCAGTTTTGAAAACAACCTTTTTGAAGAAAAGTGTAAACCCCTTTTCCAGAGCAATCCTCAACTATTTTCTTTGTTCACTGCAGGGAGGGCAAGTATAAAAACTAAGCCATACCCACAACAGAGCTAATAACTGTAATTCAGCTTTATTTTAAATAATAAACTTGTACTGAGTGACTGACAGCATTGATTATTTTGATGCTGTGCTGCTCCAGAGAATAAACCAACTCATTTCCTCCACATAATCTTTAGATTCTAAGTAATTACAGAAGGCAGCAGATTTTTCAGCTCTAAACACTGACTTTACACAGCACAGTATGAGGGTTACTTTAATATTCTTGATTTTCTCTTCTTACCGATAGTTATGACCAGTATTAGACATGGTGCAAGAACTTGAGGGGAAAACACGGCCCAAACTAACCATTGTCTAATATTATATTAGGCAATATTCTTTGTTAAAGTCCTCCTGAGAGAAAGAGGCTTTATATTTTATACAGCTTGAACTATAGGATAGCCATTGCTAATATGGTCAGGCTCACACAAACATCCTAGCTTACTGTATGGAACCTACAGGTCATACAGAGTCCCTCTGCAAAACCACGAGCCGCACAGGCACGACGGAGCCCTTCACTCCTTCAGAGGGAAGGCAGCAAGGACTCTCACAGCAGGAGTCATTTGTTCTGCTCTCAACTCTGCTTGGTCTATGCCAAGTCTCCTCCCTCCACACCGAGACCAAAGCAGTCTCGTGAAAAAGGCTCTCCCTGCTGAAGCCCCAGGAGACAAGATGGAGTGCAGGGGCTCGTAAGGGCACTACTTCCCCAGACACATGCATGCTGAGTACAAGTTAGAAATCTTGGGATGGAAAGACAGTTTTCCATGGAAGTAAGTTTAACTGAAGCAGAGACGCTAAGAAAGGATGTCACTTGTGTGATTCAGGAGATTTTACGGCAGAGTTCAATGAAGCATAGCCAGGTTTTCAGTGGGGTTTTGTTTGGTTTTAAGGATACTGAAAGAAGGGGAGAGTAAGGTGTCTGGGACATCATCATGAATGCTACTTGTAGTAAGTACCTTATACTGTTAATCTGGTGTTTTCAGGATTCACTCAGTTTTAAGGGTTTCAAAACCATACACTAGCCTCCATCAGAATTTGCAGAAACTTCAACTACAACATGCAGCATCCGAGATTGCCTAAGAGTAATTTAAGAAGAATAAATCTGTACTACAGTCAAGGACAACTCTAAAGTGCTTTTCTTCTCTACAGTTATTTCTGAGCTACAGATTTACTGTATGATCAGTACTTCAGCATGTGAATCTTCAACTTGGAAATGGTCTCCTGATCATCTTAGACACGCCATTTTAAGTTTATCTAACCTCTAGCCATCTGTTTCATGAATTCCAAGCATACACTCCTTAAGAAGGGAAGTATATTCATTATGTAAAAACAGTCACATTATGAAAGGAGATAAAAAGGGAGTTTGTTGGTTTTAATCAGCAGGCTGGAGAGCACCCTGTGATTTGTGACACTGTTCTGACCTGACAGATGTTTTTTCACCTCCACAAGGTATAATTCTTAATTGGATCACTTCCAAATTAACCCCATTGACTGAAGCAGCCCCACAACAATCTTAAAGCAATCTTAACAAGATTAGACCTAGTTTTAAAGTTTCCCATATTTATACCGTTTGTTCACAGTACTATCTCCGGAACTATTTAAAATACTACTTCAGCTGGAGTATTCCTCTGTATAATGGAGTCTCCCTGCAATCCTAACAGAATCTGACAGAAGTGGCTCATTAGTCCAGTAATGATACAACCCATTTCCTGGGCCAATCAGACTCTAGGAGAACCAGAGTCAGGATACAGTTGCTATCAAACTGGTCCCACTAATGAATATTCTCTTAATCAAAACTTGCTGATACACTGATTTACAAATATACTGCACCAAACTTTCCCTAGAGTTGAAATTTTCAATGGTTTCATTTTAATACACAAGTTCCTTATATCTCTGCTTCAAAGCACCCATTAAAAAGCCTCCACAGCTTGTTCTGTCAACCAAGAAGCTGTACATTCTCTCTCAAAGACAAGCTGTTTGAAACACTAAGATGTAGGAGTTCACAGGGCTTGTTAATTCATTTCACAGAAAATATGTATTCACTGAGAAGGTTTAATCACTGTCCTACAGTTAACACTTAGGAATTTGTAATTCAGCCCAAATATGCTGAGGAATTTTAGAATGAGCTTTTAAACAACTCAGGAAGCTGTGTTTTGTGACAAGGAATAAAGAACGCAGCCAGACTTTACATGCATCTGTCTCCATATGGTCCAATTACGGAATGTGGGTCACACCTAGCCTACAGAAAGCCATCTGGCTTTCTTCTACCTTTCTTCCCTGAGGAAACAAAATAGATGTCAACCTGGGAAACACATGCTGCCTAGAGAGCTCAGCACCGTGCAAGAGACACCAGAGGCTCAACTGCTTTTGCAGAGCCTTCCAATACCTAAGGGAGGGCCTACAAGAAATCTGGAGAGGGATTTTTTTACAAGGGCATGTACTGATAGGACAAAAAGTAATGGCTTTGAACGGAAAGAGGGTAGATTTAGATTAGATAGAAGGAAGAAATTCTTCACCGTGAGGGTGCTGAGACACTGGAACAGGTTGACCCAGAGAAGCTGTGTCTGCCCCCTCCCTGGAAATGTTCAAGGCCAGGTTGGACGGGTGTCCTGGTTCAGCTAGGATAGGGTTAAGTTTCTCCAGCAGAGGGAGAGGGGGAAGGGATCTCCAGCCGGGTTATTCATACCATGCTGATGTCAGGTCCAGGCGGGAACTTTTTTTTTTTTTTTTCTTTCCTTGGTGGCTTTTGGTGGCGGGAAGCACACGTCGGCTTTGTTCCCTGACCATTTGCGGTATTTCTCTGTATATCATTTGTCTTGTTCACTGTTATTGCTGTTTACTGTTGTTATCATTGCCACTGTTGTTGTTCAGATTGTTTTATCATACTGGTGCATTAAATTTCTTGTTATTTTAATCCGGGTTTGTGCCTCACTTCCAGCCTGACCAGCTGAGGGTGGGGGAGGGGCAACAGCAACGTGGTCTCCGGTCCCGGCAGGGCCTAAACCAAGAGCAACCTGGTCTAGTGGAAGGTGGGTTGGAACTAGGTGATCTTTAAGGTCCCTTCCAACCCAAACCTTTCTACGAGTCAGTGTGCCCCCTGGTGCGAGCAGGACGGACAGCTCGGGAAGCGCAATTCTCTCCGCACGAGGGAGCCAACGTAGGAAGGTGCAAACACCCAAATCCAGCCCACAGCCACCAGAATCATCCTTTGGTATGCTGTAGTTTTCACCTATGCAACTGTTAGTTTATTTCAAAAAGGAAACTCTCAACCGCTCATACTACTAGTTTATCTTGGCACAGAACTGGGCAAAGGAACTTGAACAATAGTCAGGTAAAGGAAGAGAGGCTTTTCCCCCTCACCCTTTGCCAATCCAAACACACTCTTAGGTAAATACATTAGCCCCCTGGAGGGGGAACTAAGATCCCAAACCACTCTGAAGCATTTACTGCATGCTGAATCTTCTGAGCTTGAAGATGAAGTTGCTCTTGAAATAGAAGCGATGCCCAAGCAATTGCTTTTTAAGAGAGCTCCATTTTGATGAGAAGTATATTTTTTGCTACTTCCTTGCACCTTCTAAAACAAGTTTATCTAATGAATTTTGCGTAACTGGATGAATGCAATTTGTCTGCTTTGGGATTAAAATAAAGCAATATACTATGGCTTAGGTGAAGCGGTAAGGAATTCCACAAGAAAGGATTGAAGCTTCTGAAATTAGCCAAAGCAGTTCAACCTACCTGGTAGTAATTAAGCAGTGTGAGAAGATACGACAGTAATAGCCCAGCAGTAATCTAGAAGAGATCTTTTCCATTAAGTCTCAGAATTGCCTTCTCAAAGCCCAAGGATTTCCCTAGATGACTGATGTGTTGCTGATATGCAGGCTCCTCCAAAAGTCCTACCAGGTCACCCTTGTCTGGGGAAGCTGATACACAGCCTCAAATATATTTGACCTTGAGAACTCTTACCAACTGCTACCATTTATCATCACCACAGCTTTGATCTTTGCCTCTCGCCTTCCATCTATTCAAAGTCATGCCATTTCTGAATATGTGGTATCTTTTGATAACTCCTGGCAGAATAGGTCTAGTTTGCTGAAGTTAATCTATACAACTATTATAGTTGCCCGATATAGTAAGGCTATGCTCTTAGGACTCTCACAGATGCTCCAAAAAGGACTTTTGGCCAAAGCAGGAAGGGAGAAGAGTCAATGCTCTCGCACCGCCTTGGAGGGGGAAAGGAGCCCTTTACTATCAGAATCTTACAGGCAATATTTTCTCTGTTTTCAGCAATTCCTTGCAGAAAAAGATGTTACAAAGGATAGACCACATAGCTGATCAAATTCAGCCTAACTCCTGTAGCAAGGAGACCTACTCTCCTCGCTGCTGCAAAGAACATCACGTACCAAACCAGTTTCAGACCAGCATACTAGAAATTGTCACACTTTTACTCCACACCCACCAAATACAGATGGCTAGGTTTTAGAAAGGACTAACAAACTTCCCCCAGTCAGGAAGGTTTGTCTGAGCTCTCTGCTGAAGTTCTTAAGCTCTAAATTCCCAAGCCAGTCCAGCTCATCCCTTTAAGCATGAAATTAGCTTTCTCTAAAGCAAACAGTATCTGAAACAGTTTTGGAAGGAGTTTAGACTTAAATCTCAGTAGGCAAGTTACATTTGCTGAACCAAGTCAGCACAGGAGATGATCTGGACCAACCTCCAAGCAAAAAAGTGCTGACAGACTACTTTTTCCAGTAATGTTGTCTTATGTAAGGTGAACATTTGGTACCAGGAAAATGAAACAAGCCCTGTTAGTAAGTTCAAAATAAACCCTTTTATCCACAAACCAGAGACAGTTTCAGAGTAAGAGAAGTTAACCTGTCTTGATAGAAGTCTATGTATCAACTGGCTTGATCCTGAAAATTAGAATTGGAAGAAAAAAAACCCCACAAGTTCAGACATGCTCCTGGTCTAACTCACAGAAAGGGATGCTACAATGCCTGGGATCTCCTGTTCCCCCTAGCCATCACAGCTCTAGACTCCACACTTTGCTCTCAAAGATCAATCTTCCATCTCTTCAGAGATGCAATTCCTCCGCAATTCCTTCGGGTTGACACAGCGCTGAGTGATATGGTGTAGTTGGGAACTGTCAGTGTTAGGTTAATGGTTGGACTAGATGATCTTCAAGGTCTTTTCCAACCTAGATGGTTCTGTGAACTGTTTGCAAGAAGACTAAGGCAGCTGCCCCAGTTTTGGGCTGCTTCACACTTTCTTCCGTACATCCCAAGCCTCCAAAGGGAGCACTGAAGGAGCCTGAAAGATGGTCACATGCTGAGGGCACCCACCTCAGAAGTGCCATATGATCTTCCAAACTTCTAAAGCCAGACAAATTTACCAAGGGTATTATGTAAGAGGCATGAAGGAGGAATTGTGTTCAAGCAATTGACAACTCATGTCTAAATTCCGTCCCTCTGGATTTATAGTGACCCACAATTGCTGTTCTGAAGGATCCTGCTGAAAAGAAGACCTGGTAAGAACACCTTTGACAGCAGGAACGAACATAACTTGTGGTGGTTTTTGGTTTGGTTTTTTTTTTTGGTGGTATCTGTACAGAATTTTGAATATCTGACATAAAATTGCTATTCTGATTTCCTTGAAAACTATGAAGTTTGCTATATAAATTTCAGTTGGCAGCATAACTCAGTACAGACAGTCTGAGACTAAGGAACAGACACAAATACATGCGCACTCAATGGGACTTTGTTAGTGCAGCAATTTAATATGCAAAACATGCCAAACATCATATAAAGCTTGTAGCTTCTTTACATAAATATACCCAACTTTTTTGTCTTGAATCGAGAACAATACAAACTTCAGAGAAGTTATCAGTAAGATATTTTACTAGATATGAATTGCTATGTTGTTACACATTGCAAACATAATCTAAAAGAAAAACAGTACAGAAAATAGCTTTGCCTAATCCAGAAGTACTGAGTCACTTAAAATAAAGGGGAGGGGGGAATCAGATGCTTTTAACTGGTTTATTCTTTACACTGTCAATTTACATTTCCCTGGGTATGCATTTGAAGCTCTCCAACAGTACAAAGAAGATGCTGAGAAATTTCATGCTTTCATCATGCCCAATTTTGACAAGGCTAATGCAACTGTTAGCCAGAAACATTGATAAACTAGCTCCAAAGTGTTCCATATCTGGAGGGAAAAAAAAAATTCCAAGTTTTCATTCCAGGGAAAAACCAACTTTACTCAAGCAACTCATGGAATTGTTGACAACAGACACTGCACAAAAGCTATTTGTTTTGCTTTCTGAGACAGGGGAGAGGAAAAGAAAGGCTGTGTAAACAGGTCCTGTCCTATAAGATTGCCCTTTTGACTGCTGATGTTATCAAGGAGGCGAAGGATGTAATATACTAGGTTAAATGTGAGACAATGTAAGCATTTCTTCTGCATAAGGATTCATTTGTTTAAAACTAGCCTGACAATGTCCTTTTGACTTTATCATATGTCTGTATTTTCAAAAAGCAAAAAAGCTTTGATGCTGTTGAGACCTATAAGGAAAAAAAAAATAGAAAGGGGTGGGAAGATGCATCCCCTCTGATCCGCAGCAGTTATCCATTACTTCAAGCCCAAACTAGGAGGCTCTTGCAGCTTAGATATGTAAGGTGTCAAACCAACGACAAAATATTAACAGTTACAGAACAAATTCAAATACCAGAACATATTCAGGAGACCTTTTTAAGGAAAGTTAGAGCAATCAAGAGTAAGTTGTTCTTTAACATGTAATTAAACGTTTCCTTTCTGTGACAAGAAACCAATGTGTGTAAAATGTGTGCGGGCTATGTTGCATCAGACTACGCAACTTCACTACAGCTGTATCACAGTAGCATCTGACTGCCTCTGCTGTATTCTAACATTTTTCTGTTTGTTTTCCCCCTACCCCATGGACCCACAAAATGATTATTCCCCACGTTAAGAGAGACTGAGCCTTGCCTAGCACTTTTAAACATTGAGGTTCATCCCCTTATACCAACTCACTCCTCTGCAACTACCAATGAGCTTCTATTTAAGGTAACTGCAGCAGATCACAGACCCTGTTCCACCAACCACGTGGATTCAAGTTTTACTTTGTCACTAAGTGTTCTGCTATGTTCAGTGAAGCTTAACTTTCAGTTCTTCACTTCCTTTTTCCAATTACAGTTGCACCGAAAAACTTGTATACCTCAACCTGAATGCAGACAGCCATTTTGTTTCCAACCATCTATGCAAAATATCTGTAGAGTACATGCAAAATATTTTAGCTTCCTTTATTAAGTGAAACTATGAGTAATTCCATTACATTGCTATTCAAATAAAGTGAATTCCATTACCTGATTTTCTTTAGCAGAAGATTCCAAGAAAGCTGCATTCCAGGATTCTGCTAAAGCTTTCCCTTCTTCATAGCTGATCACCCTGACCAAAGAAAAAAAAAAGTATGTTTCTTTATAACTTGCAAAAGAATTGGAATTTGATACATCAGGAAAGACCTCAGAGTACTGAAGCACATAAATGCATGTAAAAGGAATGTTCTGTGAAGTCTGATCCGAAGCATTTGCTTTTGGCTGCTGTCAAATACACTACTGGGCCAGGTAAAACTGCTATGTGACCCAGAAGAGCAGCTGACCCCAAATATTGCTTTGTTTTCATGATCTGTAATATCATCTGGTATTTTACAGTTGTGAAAAAAACATTTCTGTTACTTGTTTTGAAAAAAACCTGAAATGACTGTCCTGGAACCTTATAGCAAAAGTTAACATTACAACAAAAGTTCACAGCTCCTAGTTCACATTCTGGACACAATTTCTTTGCCAGAACCTTATTTTAACCTACAATTTGATTTTAGTTATAGAAAGCCAAGAACAAAAGTAGTGCATTGCAGCCACAGGAATGCCGGCTGCTGTCTTGCATTTCACACATACTGGAGTTCACATACCGTTCCATATGCAGGTCTTTTTTATTTCCAACCAGCATAATAGGTATTCTGTGAAAGAAAGTTCAGAACTTCAGAACAGTTACAGTATACTGAACAAAGTACTAGTAACATGCCTGCAATGAAATGAGATGAAAGTGTCACTACTTACTGGACTTTTCCCACCATATCCAATAACTTGCCATGGATAACTTTTATCACTTCAAAACTGCAAAATAAAGGGATGAAGTCACACATGCACTCCAATGTTTATCCTTAATACCCAATAACACAAGCAATTAAATGCATATGTAAGTTGCTGCGTTTAAAACTTACTCTATGTATAGTGGCAGAACTACAAAGATGCCACAAGTCTTATCGATTTGTGTATAACAGAAAAAATGGTCCCAGAAGCAGCGACAACTAGCCTATGCCTACCATTACAGCTTTCCCAATTATGATATTTGCAGAAATAAGTAACACCCAGGACCGATGCATCTAAGGGAATCACTAAATGTCCCTCCCACCTCTCATCTGCAGTAAGAAATTTAACAGCTAGAGTCCAGCAGCCCTGGATGAGCATGTCAAATTAAAGCGATTTCAAAGAAAACTATTTAGTTAAGCACACTTCATCTTGAAAGAATACATTATTTAAGAACACTTAGTTCATACAGAATTCTTTCGTTTTATTTATGCGAAAGCTAGAAAAAGTCTTAAATTTTCTATAGGAAGTGAGTAAACTGATCTGCAAGATGGCATCAAAAGAGTGGTTATTCAAATACTTGTTGTCTGTTCACCTACCATGTACATGAAGTTTGGATGACAGAAGATAGAAGCAGTACTGTGAAATACCAAGAAGCCAGAAACCTCACTAACAAAATCCACTGCATTTGATATTTAGTACTTTTGAGAACAACTTATAAACAGGGCTGAAGAGCAGACGTTGTGCTCTTCTAATTACATTATGGAAAAAATGCTGGTACATGAAGTGCACAATTCAGATTTGTTTTGAGAGGGGCACAGGCTCACAGACGAGACACACTACTAGACCATAAAAAAGGGACCAAAACTTTTCCAACTTCCGAGATTGTTAGCTACAGGCAGTATCTTGACTTGCACTGCATTTCAATTAGAATTGAAACTCTTAAAAATAGAGCAGCACTCAAACATCCTTCCAACTCAGACCTATCAAAGAACTGGTGTCTAAAAACACTGCTATTCAAGCTATCATTATAAATTTTTACTTCTGGAACAGAAGTAAATGCTACCATATTAAGAAGGATTTTCTGCCAATCTGTCTGAATTCAGTAGTAACTGTCAAGACTGAGTAGAACACAACACTTCTCCACGTTCAGCTAATAGTTTTAACATATTCTATCAAGAAAATGAATTATTTGCAAACAAAAGTGTGACTTTGCCACAATTTACTGTTAGTAACTCAAGTGTGATACTAGAGATTACATAAAAATGAGGACTAGGTGAAAGGACTTTAGGGTTATAAAGAACTTAGGCAGAAAAGGTATTAGTGAAATTCTGGTCTTGAGAACTTGCCTTGGACTTTCATTCTTATCATTATTTAAAAAAATGAGTTAAAACGGAGGCTGGCTGTGACAAAGTTGAAAGGCACTGCTATACAGAGAACTAGGCGACCCTACAAGCTGAATGAATAAAACTACTACAAAAAACAACCTCTGCTACAGAACACAAAACTGTTTCTCAGTCTGAAGCAACAGGAAAGACCTAGCATACTAGCCAAAGGATAACTGAATCACTAACACAGCACGATCACAGTTTTCTTTCCACTATTAGGTGTGTTGTTTCCAGCACGGCCAGAAAAACACCACACCATGGCAAAGCACCCTGGTAATTCCTCACCTGACATTCCAGTGCACAATGCTGCAAAGTGTTCTTGTTCAACCTAGGCTCTTCATTTCCTAATTCTGTGTACCTATCTGCTTGCCTAGGATAGTTCACAAGCTATGTTTTTATTAACAATACTACAAATAGAAACCTGTTCTTCCTTAACAGATCAAGGTGGAAATCAAGAGAAATGCTATTTACTCAAACACAATTCCAACACAGAAACAAGTTGCTAAAAACTACCAGGAATGAAATCGGCTTGGCAAGATCAATTTATGTTCTAGAAAGCTTTTCAAGCTAGTAAGGCTAGAAGGAGCAGAGACACACTTTAAGGCAGATATTGGCCAAATCAGAGAGTATCATTACATCAAGTCGTGAAACAGCAAGAGATCTGGAGACCGTAAGGTCTTTTCCTGTTCTGTCAAGCAAATAAGGCTACAGCAAACTGTTCAATGTGTGAAATACAACAAAAAAAAATACTAGATGTCAGATAAACATGTTAACACAAAATCATGGAACCTACCAAGAGACAAAATCGGAATTTAATTAAGCTGAACTAGAACAAAAGCCTTCCAGTAACCTTGCTGCTGAGAGCCTGGGAACACAAAAAATGTAGGGCATTAGCTTTTACTCAAGTCCCATTTAAACTTCCCACTGGAGGTTAGCAGGAAAGATGATAATTTTTAAAGGGCATTTCTATTAAGTTTGCTGTCAAAGCTCTCAACACTGCTGGATGAATACTCAGATCAATATACATGCTTTGACAGAAGTCAAGACAGATGGTGACAGTGATTTGATTGTCCAGGCAAGTCATCTAAGTTACCAGAGTATTGTGGAAGACCTTTCCTATTGCCTAAACAGTCTTGATGGAAAACATAAGGAATTGAACAAGACAGGAGCATTGATACTTTGAAATTTAAAGGAAGAAACAAAAAAACCTTGGAGTAAGTTGAGACTACAATACTGATGAAAAGACTATCTACCTACAGTCTTAATGTATCTTATTAGCATTTTCACTATGATTTGGTTTCTATTTTAACTGATTGAATACTACCACAAAGAACAGATTTTCATTTCTTCATCTGTGTTTCTAAGTTCAAGACATCATGAAGCAACAACGGGAGTAGCTGAAAAAGAACATGTCCTTTAGCTGCCAATCAGGAAACAGCAGAAGCTGCAGAAGTCTCCAAGTGATCTATACTGATTTTAGCCAAAGATATTTTTGTCCTCACAGTACCACTTATCAATGAATATTTTTCTGATCCCTCTAGGAGTGAAAGATTGTCTGCTTAAGGCTGAGTGAGAATACTAACTCCTATCTTATACAAGTTGGTCAGCACCAACACTGAAGCTCTGATTTTAAAAAAAAGTTAGGTAGTTTAGTATCTCTAGACACACATGAATAATGTCTGCTGCATTTCCTCCAGATCACACATGCTTGCCCTTCACTACTTCAGAACTAATGATGAAAACTGAGGATGAAGGACTGTGAAAATCTGTTCAACATTAAAGACCTCGCAAGCAACAGAAGTTTGTAACCAGACTGTATTCCTTCCTTTGAGAAGCTCAGAAGTGCCATGAGGCAAGCTGGTCTACTGAAGAGTATTTGAGATGACCAGTTTTGTCTGATTCAGAGGAAAACACATGGAATGCTTCAGCACTGGTATAAAGCTGATCAGTTTCCTTGCAAGTAAAAGGGAAACATCAATTTCTCTTCTACTTGCTGAGAGTGAAAGGTCTAAGGTCTCAACCATTTTACTCAAAAACTTAAGAAAACAAGATTATTTTGGCTGTCATAAAGATGCTGTACAGTACTAGAAAATTAAAACGTACTCAAGAATGACCAGTACTTAAACAAAGCAAGATGATCAGAGAAAGGGACAAAATAACAGAAGATGACAAAGCCTTATGAAGGCTGAGATGCATCTTGCAAGTAAATGACTCCAGCTACAACACTTTGTTCTCATGTCAAAATGGACAGCTAAGAGCAAGGACAAAACAGACATTATGACTAAATTTTGAAATAAGATTATTGGCTGCTGCACGTCAAGAGTGAGTCTACAGGCCAGAAGTCATACTTACATGCTTATTTACTTGCTACTTACATGAAAATTTTTGATGGTTAAACAGAACAATCCAAGACAAGAAGCCAAAGAAATTTTAATGAGCTACAAGGCTGAGGGGACTGATCTAGCAACTAACTGTGTACTTGACACAAATATGAACCTAAAAGGCACTGTACATGTAAGTCTTCCTTTGTATCAGATGCTAGAGCAATGAACTCCACTTATTCCTGAAATCATTCTATGTACTTGTACTTACACCTCACAACAATGTAGTTCAGCACTGTTTCATTTCTTACATGGTACCCTGCATATTAGTCTGCAAAGTGTCTGTGACATTTGGATCTGAGGGGGAATTTCTGAAAAAAACATTAATTTAAATTTTCATTATACTTTTAAGGGAGAGATTAAATGAACTAAATACGTGTAAAGAAAATACAGCAGAAGCAGGAGCTGAACCCAGAATATATCTGGTTAATATCTGAACCAGAAGAACACAACAGATTTTATTACCTTTTTATTGATGTGACTGAATAAACAAGAATGTAGCCATTGATGTCTATGGAGTATGTCTGAGGAAATATGGAGTATTCATCCTGTAGAAGGAATATTGCATTTAAAATTACTTAGTGCCACAGTTTAGAACTTGATACTAACAGATCCCCATCAGATAAGTTGGTCACATTTATAAGACATGAGGTACAGGGCTGTTTCATATAGCTAGTACTTTCAGAATTAAGTTTTTTCACCATCATGTCAGATGTGAAATCTTTACCAAATTAAGAGAAAGCTGAGGCAGTCTCTATACGCTAAAATTTAATCTACAGCTTTTTTGGTTTATTCCCTGTAAGACTATGGATCAGCTAAAGCTATTCCCAATCCTCTTATCCTGCTTAATTATCAGCTTGTATTAGGACAAAACATCCATTCTGTCCTACCACTAATTCGCAATTACACCTCTTATCTTGACGGTGATACATTTCAAATTCCCAGTTTCAACAGCAGACGACAGTATCCAGCAGTTCATAATTTCAAGTGACACTGATCACATCTAAACTACCTAAGGGATCTTTTAGGAAGTGAGTAACTGTGGCTTACTAACACACGCTTATCAACTCCAGATGCAAGAAATATAGTTATTAGTTGCTTTATGAGAACTAAAAGTTTACATTATACAACAAATAATTAAAAAACAAACAAACCAACCACCAGAAACTTAATCAGTGAGTTTATTACCCCTGTAGAAAAGGAACTGACCAAACAGGTAAAAGAAACAGACTGACATATTGCAGGTAATGCAACACAAATATTATGAATCACAACACAAATACTATGAATCTCATCTTCAAAATCTAAATTGTTCTAACAGATATTCCAAGGAAACATTTACATTTTGACAAAAGCCATACTAGTTAATGTACAAGTTCTCAAATTTTTAAGCTCACGCTTCTTAAAATGTTAATTTTAGCTTAAGATTAACCTCTCTGTATATTGTCATGACTGAACAGATGGAGCAGTGCAATCATGCAGCTTAAATCTAGACAGACAAAAGGAATCAAACTCCCTTAACTGGCAAATGAGGAAAAACCCTTTCTAAATCAACTATACAGATTCAGCCAAAAAAGTCTGAAAACATTTGACAAAAGATGCCCTTATTTGCCTTTATTGCTACACACGGAGGGCAGCCCTCCCCCATCTCCACTGAAATGCCAAACTGCCACTTCAGTTGGCCATGTAATCCCAAAGTCAATACAGAAGGGATCTGAGCTAGTCGGCATGTAAAACAGGTGAAAGTGCAACTCTGTAGTTATTTGACTTTACCCTGAATTTCCCAGGATTGCCCCAGCTGGAATTTGGTGTGAGGTAAGTTTTCCTTTTGTGCTCCCCTTCTGTGAACCTGTCCCAAGACTCCTGTTTAACTGAACTATGCAAATCTGAATAAATAACCATGAAAGGTAAAGAGGCACAGGACACAAGAGGAGTACAAAGAAAGATAAGTGAAATAACCTCAACTGTTATCCATTCATTCATTACTTAATTTTTAGCTGGTTAGGAGAAGGAAGAAAAGCTGCTATACTTCCTGGAACTTGTGGATCAAATTAAGAACTCTGCCAAGTGATAAAACCATGTATCCATAACTTTTCAAGTAATAGTGAAATTTTCAAGCATGTAACAAATCTACAATATAATCCTTGCTATACTGTATACACCAGGACTCCCTACGGATCATTAAGCAAGACAAACTTGAGAAAGAAATCTGTCCAAACCACACCTTCCATAACCTAAGATCACCTTTTCCCTCTAACCTCATTATCCAGAATCAAACTTCAAGTCATTCACAGGAAGAATCAAATCTGAAAATAACCAGAGGCTGGGAAAAAAGTTATTTTGATTTTGCAATACTTAACATTAAATCAACCCTGAAAAAAAAGAGTCAGCAATAGAAGTATGTTACCAGTGAAATTACACTGCCTTCCCAGAAGGCCATTTCATCCTCAAAGAGAAATTTTACTTTTATCACTATGCTACAATTGGAGAAATAAGGCAAACACACTTATACTGGGACAAAGTGAGACCTATGGAGCTTGCTCTGCGCTCACATTTCTCAGCCTGCCCATCTCTCAATCTCATTCTCCTCTGCAGAATATTCCCCATCAAACAATCTTGCCCCAGAACATGTGGCCAGTATTGTGTTTCTAAACACTTCTGACACCTCCAACTCATTATAAGTGGATAGAGTGTTGCTGATGAGCACCACAAGCTGACACCATATAAATACAGCATGGTTATTTGTAAGTCATGTAGCTCTCTTCAAAGAATGTGATCAAACATACCTAGAAGGTTACAACCCTACTGAATAGTCTCCCAGCTATGAGCAAGTGTCCTGTAACTTTAAAGTCTTAAGTACTGGCAGTATATTTTACAACACTAACATTGTTTAACGCTACTCATAGTTCGAAAAAAACCTAAAGGTGTAATATCACAGAAGATAAGAACAAGTAAGCAGTAAAAAGCTTAGGATAAAAATACAGTGGTTTAACAGTCCCTGTTCTGTTTTTTCCCAGTACAGAGTCTTTCAAAAGATGGAGCACTCCTGTGTGTGGAACATGCAGCGCAAGTTCAGACAAGTACTATATAATGAACAGTGTACTTCATGAAGCCACCAACCACGCTATGGGACACGTGTTCAGTCTCTCCTCCTGCACTCCCATTACTGTCATTACGCGAAGGCTCAGAAGTACACATGAACCATCACATAAAAATGTAAACATGCTGCAGTAGTTTACTGGTAGCCCAGTAAGTACTACCTGTATGCATTTCTGCCTACTCTCCATAACTATTTAATGCATACAAGTCACAATGGTGCAGTTAGAGCACACAAATAGGAAAAAGTCATGAAAAACTTCTTCATGATTTACTGAAGTGATATTTTTCATCTAAAGCAAGACTGCTAGTTCAGTCCATAAATATTAAGTAAGCTACTTTTGAATTTTTGATGCATTAGAGTTAAGGCAGTTTTCTTCACTCTTTTAGGCATATGTTCAATAGACAGGAAAAAAACCCACCAAACAAAACAAACCAAAGCCTTTAAATAAACACTACAAAACCAGTGATCTTTAGTGACTAAACGACAAGGCAGAATCATTTAAGTTAACCTTCACCTTTGAACACATGGTTGCTATCAGCTTAGCTCTACAGGAATAGGAATACCTGTTGTCTTAGCTCTGAATAAAGTTTCAAAAAAACATAGAAAACTTACCTGGCCAGCAGTGTCAACCAGCTGAAGATGATATTCTTGGCCATTTACTGTGATCAGTTTTGTAAAAGCTAGAATCAACAAGAAACACAAACACATCAGTATTATACAAAAGGAAGGGATCAAAGTCACTAATCTATGCCATCATCAGCCAGGGCACTAAGAATAAGAAATTTAGGCTTTAAAGTAGCAGTAAAAGGTTAGATGAGGTGGCTGTATTTTCAACTAGCATATTGCAGATAATAGAACTCAGAAATTTACTTTAAATTTTCAAATTTCATAGGATTCTCACGTTGGAAGCAGCAACTTCTCCTTTACTTACTTAAAAGGAAAGAGCAAAAAGGGTTTTTACATGCATTTCTAAGAGACTTCTAGGCAACCATAATTTGTGGTAACACAAGACACTTAAATAAAACTAGCATCAAAGCTTAGTTTGAATTTATTATAGGATATTTTCCCCAGTTTCCAAGTGGTTTAGCAAGATCAGTTTCCTAAATGTAAATATCATGAGGTAAATGATCTGGATTAAAAAAAAACCAAAACAACTTTGGGGGCCAAAACACACAGAGCCTAACATGAATATACTAAACCTAAATAATGAGAATTTAGCTAGAAGTTCATCATGTTGCTTTCATACTTGCTGTAGCTACCAGCCTATCTAGTCCTCAGTCAGGAAGCACATTCAGTCCCTAAAAGCGATGAGAACTGCTTCTCTTCCTTGGATTCATGAAATGCCAACACACTGTGAGTTGAGGAATCTTACTCAGTATTTGTATTATGCAACTGCAAAAGCAAACAGTGTCACAGCTCTTGTAGGAATCATGTACTACTGAGCACTACATGTACCAGAGCACAAACTTGGCTTCAGAGCTTCACTTTGGCCTTAGCGTTGCACTCAACACCCAATTACTGGACAGTACTGATATACTGAGTAAAGTCTGTGTTGTCCTCTGGTTAAGGCTGTTTTCCCAAATACTAACAGACCTAAGAAGCTTCATCTTTCATCGCAGTGATGAGCAGGGAAATAGCTAACACTGCAGTGACCTGTTCATCATATTCTAAGTTATCCAACAGCTTCCTGAAGCTGCAAAGCTGAATGTTCTTGATCTCACTGTGCAGCCTCCTGCCCACACCTTCTGGGTTTTGTACAGGGTCTCCTAGAAGCTTAAGTTTGCCAACTTTCCTCCTCCCTGCCAGTGCTCATTGCCATGTCAAGTCTCCACAATGTGAGTATTATCTTGAATAAGTGGGCTGAAATATCTGAAACTGGAGGTTTCAACCCACCTAATAAACCAAAGCGCTTTTTTTTATTTTTCAAAAAAGGAGCAATTCAAACAAGCAAAGTCAAACTAACACAGAGTTAGTGCAAAGCGTACCTATAGTTTCCATTACAGCTGACACATACAATTTGAAATGGGGCTTTAAAGAGCAAGCCTCCACCTTACCCTGTCTATGCTCTAGGCTGCCTTAGCACATGTGCATGCGAGCTTGTTCTCAAGTCACTGTCTGGACACTGTTGTCAAAAGCTGCACAAAATTTTACTTACGAAGCAAGAACAGGTCTTTACCTTGGATGAATAGTATGGTGGGACAGAAGCAACTGTTTGAACAGATGTTAACATGCAACGTTGCTATACACAATATCACTGCTTCAAGTCAGAGAGAAAACAGACTCATCTGAAGACATACTGCATTAACAGGTATATTAAAAGTAACACTCTAGTCTCTTGACACTTCACATACACATCAAAGCACTCTGCAATCAAAGTAGCTTCAAGAGCCTCAAAAAGTTAATATTTAAAAAGGGACAGAGACAGATGGTAGCTTTTTCAGACTACTCTAGCAGCCTAGAATAGACCCAGCTAAGACATCATCATCACTGGTACTGGAAGCAGAGTGTGACAGAGCCAGTGGAAGGGAAACAGTGGAGGAGTCACCACAGACTGGGTGAGGAGAACTGTTAGTTTAGTGCAGAGGCTTGTAGCACTAGGAACAGCCCACTGCAAGAAATCTGCTTTGATGCAGTCGTAATTAATGACTCCCATTTCTTTTCTGAAGCTTTTAAAAAAAATATTCCTGGTAAGAATTCCACCTTGGGAAAAACTTGCAACTGTGTTTAATGTGATCAGTGATCCTGAGGAAGTCTTCACTTCCAATTCCATCACTTCTCATCCTGGGACACACTGTCTTCTGCTGTGCCTATGAGCAAGACAAACAACCAATGATATGATTACTGCACAGTATGGCTCTTCCCAGTATGCCAAGGACAGATTTAAGCAGACCTGAACAATCTCTGCAGTCCTAGTCATAACGTGAGCATGTGTGAAACACTGCTCATCTGCTGAAGCATGGGTAAAGCCTGTTTTAGCTCCATGAAGCACACAGCTCTCAGAACAGGACATGCTTACACCCAGCCACGCAAAACTTGAGTGTAGCTATATGAAGAAAGCTGCAATCCCCACTTTCACCTACAATTGTTCCTTGTTCTGATGCCTTGCTGAAACTCAGAGAATTTGGTTCTGCAGTGAACAGCACAGATACATGTGTACAGTTGAGGGTACGGCAGTTTACAGCTGCACTGCAAAGAAACTAAACTCACTTTGCCATCAGAGAAAGTTCTGGTAAAATTACATGCAAGCACAGCCCTGAATGCTGCTACAGCTCAGCAGAAGTGTAACTTATGCAGCAACTCCATCAGCTTCTGATCATCGTTACCCTAAGAGCAAGTATATTTTAATTGGACTAACATGAATGAAATGATTTGCATATGCAACTCAAACAACAGCGTCTGTGAAAACAAGCCATTATGATTTAAAAAAAAAAAAAAATCAGTACCAGGCACAGAAATACAGGCTTTTAGATTAACAGTGCTACTGAGTAAAGGTACGAGTGTGGTTAACTTTACTCCCACAGAGCTGCTGGCTGGTAGCTAAATACATCCACCTCATAAGGGTTCCTTGGTTACTACCTTCTGCATCCCTTTCTACTTGTCTTCCTTCCAAAGTCAATACCTGTCACTAATCTGTCAGATCGTTTTTTGCAACACTGAGATGTGTAATGCAACAGAGCTATTTTCCTCAGAAGCCTCATTTCCACCCCTCGAGAAGACTGCTCAGCAGCAACTCCTGGGAAGAAGCATACTTCACCCTTCCAGTGCAGTTACCATGACATGCATGAACAAAGTTTAGCCTTAAAAATGCTTCTAGCAGATGCATCTAAACCTACAGGTATCCTCTTCATGACTACTAGGGTTCCTCCAGCCCCCTCTCCCTTTCTAATATGCTTCTACTCACAACTGTATTAAGAAACAAGGGATGGAGGCAGGAAGCCCTTGGGGGAAGACTGTTCCTTTCCTTAGGGAGCTACTGAGCCTGTTTAGGGAAGAAAGAAAGACCACAGAGCTGTAGCACAGCGCTAGAAGCTTCTCCAAAACTGCAAAGAAAAGCTGAAAGGAGCCAGGCAAACCTCAGAGAAGCTGGAGAAAACATTTTTGAGACTCAAGCAGTCAAGTCAGATTTCCTGCAACACAAAATCACTGAATTAATAATAACCAAAGACACCCCTGCAAAGATTGGGTGTGGGTGAAGTTACATGCACATCTTCATTACCTATTCCTTCTGACCTATTTGCTTTGAGTTCCAAATTAAGATTCTAGTTTTTATTCCAACAAAATTTTTGAGTTTTAAATTGTTCTGGTCTTAGTTCATCTGAGCTCAATGTCCACACAGATCCCTCCACATACTCCTACTCTGCAAGGATCTTCCTTCTCTTTCCAACACTCCTGCAAATAATTGTTCCACTAGTTTCTCAACCTGTCTGTCTCAAGAATAGCCCCCCATCATGGTGTCACTCCTGTTAGTACATTCAGAAAGGGAAAATCTATTTTGCTACATAATTAACTCTCATCTCTGCTGCTGCCACAAAACACTAAGTTACTCTTCCTGATACACAAGTTCAGTAGCAACTGAATTCAAAACACTCCTTAACTTAAATAAACTAACTTTTCTGGTTCTAATGTAATATAAGCAAAGGAAAACGCAGCAATAAAGGAGTGCTGACTAACAACACTAAGTGAAATCTGATGCAGCTTATCTTCCCCTTTACCAACTCTGAAGGTGGTAGAGATTTTCACAATGAAAAAAGCAAACTAGAATATTAGGTCTTATTCCTACTGTTCAAGGCTATATGCTATGCAACTTGTTTCTGTAAAAGCTTAACTATAAGTTGCCTTCTATACAATTTAGCTTTAGACTAATTTTTTGGGTGCAAGTTTTATTATTTGAAGACAAAGATTATAAAAATTAAGCTACCAGCAGTAGTCCATCTTTCTACCCTTTCATCAGTGTTGGTAGAAAGCTGTAGGTAAACTATCACTAACAGTTTTCTGGAGGCAAAACAGGAATCACATAGACCAGACAACTCTTTAGGCTGTATTTTTTTAATTTCCAAGTTTTGTGACACTAAAGGAGACCCAATCACTAGACAAAACTGAAAAGGTTTTATAATCTGCTATAAATCACTGGAAAAATGTAACATTCTCCAACACTGTCCCTAGTATAGGAACCTGGACTTCTCAACCCTTTCTGCCAAGCACTGTCAACCAGATTTGAAATTACAGGCTAGGAAAACAGTAAGAGGTGATCGCATACTTTGTGTCTCATTACACTGCACAGAATCAGAAACATACATTTGGGAATGTCAAAAGGCTGGATTGATCAAGGATTTAGATTTAGAAAAAAACATTTTTAAAATATTAAGAACTTCAGTCAAAAGAATGTTTTTATACTAAACCCATCAAAACTAGTTTCACATGTCTGTCTTAAAAAAAGATGCCTTCAATGTATTTTAAATTTTAGCGTTAAATTAGAATGTGTTATCTCTTCTGTTGTTCACAGAAGCATTTTTAAAACATTCTCTCTATCAGGCCTTCCCAGCCTTAAAGATGGGACAAACTTCCTACTGTTTTGAACCTCAGGGCACATCTTTTATGCTTTCAATCCTTACTTCCCAGCAATACACTCTGATGCAAGAAGGGCCCTTCAATTCTCTACCTTTCAGAAAGCAAACTCCTGCAGCCATGCTGCAGATCACAAGACTTTCACCAAATGAATAATGCTGTTTGTTTTCCAAACAAGTAAGAAATCAAGTGAAAAGTTAAGCCTTTTCAAGATGCCACTGACCAACACAGTTTTGATGGCCGTGACATGTTCAGTGTTCATAATTCAGATCAAGCAAACAGTGTAGACTACAGGAGACAAATAAGAGCAGAATTCATCCAGAGTGTATTTTCACATAGTTAAGAAATGCTACCAGTGAGAGACATACAACTACAGAGTTACTAACAGCAGTTACAGATGTCAGTTTCTGTGGACAACAAGAGTTTATAAAGGATGAAACAAGCCAATCTCATATCAAGGTGTCAAAATCCTAAAAGAAGATACAGACTCAGTATTCTGGAGAGACTGTAATCCCATGTCTCTCAAGGTTTATTCATTCCCACATACCTACATATAACTAAAGGATCACTAAATAATTTGCCTTTATGTAGCACAGACAGTGAAAAATAACCTGTCCCAACTGATATTAAGATTTAAAGAACAAAAATTTAATCCCTTGTATTTTGTTATCGTCTTTAAGACAAACTTTATTTATAAATCTAACAAAATAAAAAGGAATGATTGGAAGTGTTAATATTAATGACATCTGTATAAGGACTAACAGATCATTCAGGTCAAGGGGCAAATTATCCACCCTGACTCACTAAAGCAAATTTAGAGCTTCTCAAAAAGTAGCATTTAAGTTTTAGTTCTAAGCAATAAAATAATCCTGAGTAAAATATCCTGATAGCTACTGATTTGCAATTATTACCATCTATATCCAAAAGAAACCTAGTTCTGATTACTTCAGACTTCCTGAGTATCAGAGAGGCTTAACATCCTACTGCGCAAGTTCAAAACAGTAAAAGTGTGTGCTATCACTGCATTTCAGAAGTCAGTAAAACACAAGAACTCCAAGGTTACAATCATGAAATCAAAATTTTATTTGCCACATGATTAAAATGAGCCAATATGATCAAGTTACTCAGCCTAACACCACAGAGGCTCAAGTATTTTATGATCACCGCTAGCTCAGAAAGAGGTGGTTGAATTGTAACAAATACAAGGTTAACTTGCCTCTGAAGTGACTTACTGCTGCTCTTGGCAGCATTTTTAGTATTAGTACTTTTACTCACCTACTATGCCAGCTATTCACTAATATTAAAACAACTGATAAGAGAAAAAAAGACACTTGAGAGTCAGTTACCCAGTATTAGAAGCAAGCTGATTGTGTACCAGACCTGTTATCAAGCAGCTGGAAATGAGTAATTTAACAGATTATCACACCATCATGGCCACGGCACATCCACCTTCTAAAGTAGTAATTTACTACTGACTGGTATTGCTGGCTTTGCGTTCACCTGGGTATACTGATCAAATGAGACATCTAAGAGTTTGGAATACTTGCATGTAGTGGCACATTTTCACACAGGTATGACATACTTAATTTGAAGTGCCCTGACTATATTAGGGGAAGCAGATGTCCAACACCATACATGTAATACAAAGAGATGCATTTTAGTCAGATGGATTAGGTTTTCCTTCATTTAGCATTAAAAGACAGTTTAGCTGTTTGGAGAAATATGCACACAGTGATTTCCATGCTGCAATACCGTAAACTTGGGAAGTGTTGGTTTAAAAGAGTAATATAACAGTTAATTAATGAGCTTTAATGTCAATACATAAATGCCACATAAGTAATATATAAGCACAGTGGCTTCTGGTAAAAGTTAGTTAGGTAGAGAATAGGAGCTTGTCAGTTATTTACTTACTGTTCTCTATGGTTGGATCATACGAATCAACAAACTGTCCTTCCACAAACTGAATCGTCAGTGAAGATTTTCCTGTAAAGCAAGGAAATATTTAATCTGTATTGAAACAAAGCTTCAGGCTGTTCTCACTTTACACTTACTAGTAGATACACTAATATTTTTATGAGCCAGTATGAGCTTTGTATGGTTCATTTAAACCATCTATACAAGACAACCAACTGATTTTTAAATCAAGTGCCTATTCCTAGTAACTGGGTCTCCTGAACATATAAAAAAAAAGTGCAAAAGCTACTCAGCCAGCGTTCTGCTTTTGTTTTAACATAGCATAATTTAAGTGCCTCCTCCAGTTTAAAACAAATCTAAAAGTAGCAGTGTCCAATCCTCATAAAACTAAATTTAACAAACTGCTATACTTGGAATGTTATTCTGTTGAGAAGCAAGGAAAACTAGAAATAATTTTTAGTCACTGCACACAAAACTAGGAGCTTGGATAGAATTAGCCAAATTTGGTTTGAGTAAGAGACTGGACATATTTCCCATGACAAAAGGATGATCTCAAAATTCTTGAGATCAATATTACTCTCCTATTAATCCTCTTAATGCCATACTACAACAGTCCGGTGGATGCTTTATTTTAAGCATAGTGATTGAGGGGACATTATTGGGTTGTGGGTTTTTTTGAAAGCAATTTAACTGCTACTTTTGCAGACAACTTAACAACCCCAATTTCAGTTATGCCGATCTGATCATACCCCCCCTTCCCCAAAAAGAGTAACACAATGTTGTACTTAGTAGCAGATTAAATTTTCACTTTTTTCAGTCTTGAAAGACTTTATAAGACAGTAAAAGCAAATCGCATACATTGACCATAAAAATCACCTTTCAAGCTCTGCAACTGAAGACTTTTCAAAGCACTACGAAAGCTTTAACACAATTTCCATTACAGCACATCTTCTACACTTGGGAATCTACTAGATTTTATTACATTACGCTTACTGGGCAAATACAGTCTTATAAAGATTGCCAAGTGCATTAGCTGCTTTTGGACATCAGCATATTTTCATGCTCCTTACTCTTCTCTTGGCAAGAGGCACAAACAAAATACAACCTCAAGTTAGAATTTAGACTCGAGACCACTCACTCAGTGGAAGCTTTTCAATGACATCATAAGTAACTAATGTTGTGGTTGAACGATATAGTAAAACTGTTTTCAAGAATTAATTACTTTGGATAAAGATTGCCCACCTGTAGTGCTCAGACAATGCTATGTTTATACTTTGCTGTAGAAAAAGTTATTTTCTACGCATTTCTTCAGGGGATATTAAAAAACAGTTTTCCACTTCAACAACCCCCCACCCCCCTTCTTGCTTCATCATACAAGGCTTTTGACCTGTTCACATTTGACTTTTTATTATTATCAGCATACTTAGCAAGTCATTTTTGTAAAAGACATTCTAAAACCTGCAAGTCAAAGTATAAGCATGAAAGTGATGCAAGGAAATTTGGCTTATTATATGTAATTACACATGCAGTCAATTCCTTCCATTAACTGCAACACTTCCCAGATTTACTTCTCTGGGAAGAAAATGTTACACAAGCAATGTTATTTGTGGATTTTCCAACAGCCATAGCCTTCATCAACTCACTGCTTGGTTTATTTTAACATCACTACTCATCTCTGCCATGCTTATTCCTTTGCTGTCTCCTATGTATCATGAGTTTATACAAGATACAATGCTAAAAAACTCAAGACAAATCCCCAAAAGACCAACCAGCACACAAGATTTTAAAAGTTGGTTTTCCTCAACTCAGGTTCTTGGATACCATTTTCTGACACATCCAACAGCACAACTAAAGATGTCATACCTCACTGTGCATGAGTTTAGAGACAACACTGCACTTTAAACTGTTGCTCCAGCAAGGGGCAGAGGGAAGCAACCGTGCACATCTGAAATCATCCTAATAAGGACACTTAAGACTATGCATCCCAGCAACTTTCTGAAACTGTGTATTTTGGACACCACTTAGAGTAAATGAACTTTCAAGCTATTTCATCTTTAGCTATAAGCTTATGAAGTTGGCTACCCAGAGTTCATGCCTCCAGATTCTTTGTTTTAAAACGGAGTGCTTGATGTGTTGGTAGTGACAAAGTTAACTATTCCTACATTAGGCTGTTATATCCTCAAGATTAGAGGACCTAAGTGAAGCACAAATCATCACTGAACATTTTTCCTCTTAAGAACGATCCTAAACTAACCAAAAGACTTGACTGCTACTGTCTGTCTATGCTAAGTCTGGAAACTGAATACTAGAAAGAAGTTGGAGCCAACAGCAAATGCCGCATTTAACATCCAGCTGTATTAATTACTGCTTTCCTCCTAACAGTGAAAGAGAAGGAAACAAAACCAGACAAAGCCAGTGTTCCAACACTCTCCTTCTGAATTCCTCCAAGCTTTGTAACAAGCCTCCCAGTAATGATGTGTTTGTGATCACAAGAGGATGCCTGCTTTCCTAAATGAGCCACAGGGAAGCTCTCCAGTCTTGGGTACAGCCACCTACCCTCTCAGTTTAAGTGCATGCAACAGTATCTCACTAAACCAAGGCTTCCAGAAGGGACACAAGAAATTTTAAACCTAAGTCATTAACACCCCACTGCCCTGACTCTGCCCATGCCCAAGAAGCACGTAGGACCATGTAAACAGCAGCTTAGCTTGAACTTTGTCCCACAGGTTTTATTCCAGGCCTTTGACCTATGTTCCTGGACAGAGTGGAAAATTAAGTTGACAATTTAGCTGCTATCTCCTCTTTCCCCAGAATGATCAGGCAACATTTTCATAGAGAATTACAACATCAACAAAACTTCTGTGAGGCAGAGGCCAAGGAACTTCACACAACTGCCCTTACTGATATGCTAACTCCCATCTCAGAGCGCTGCAGGAAGGACGATGTGGGGAGATACTGCAGTCTAGATGTGCATAGGCTGCTAGCACACTTCAGCCTAAAAGGACAAGAGAGTCTGACACCAGCAGCAAAGACTTGATTAATTGATTACTCAAGGGTGCGTACCTCAAAAAAAGGCTCAGCTCTAAGAGGCCTTCATTTGGAACAAATGCCAAATGTTTTTTAGTTTAATAAGCTTTTCCTTGCAGCATCGTCCACACTGGTAGTTTTAGTGTATCCACTGTCCTCAAGTTTTAGGAGAATAAGTATCTGTTGAGACCAAAAGGAGAAGAATCATAAACAGAAGCAAGACAAAGTCTGCTTGAAGCAGTTCACTTAACTGATGGAAATCTGTGATTTTAAGATGCAAAATCTTACTGGAGGAGATTAGGATTTAACCTTTTGACTCTGTTCAAAATCAGAGCTTAAAATGACTAGGAAAAAACCCCAAAACATTCAAATAAGGGCAACACTGGAGCAAGGGCAACAGGATGGCTCCTCTGGATGCACTTGCTCTGGTAGCTTAACACACCAGATACTCTATGGCAGAGCAGCTGTAAGCAAGTTCTAAGTTTACTGACTCTCCCTCTCCCTGGAAGAAAAGGACAGAAGGTAAAGACTGGGAGGAATAGGTTTTACAACCGTTTAGAACACAAGTCCCAGGTGGCCAAAAGTTTAACTCACATTGTCCAGAACCACCCAAAGTGTATTTGCATACACAATTTGTTATTTAAGATGTGATGTGGGAGTAGTAAAGTTTTCCCATTGTCAAAACAGAAAAGGAACAGGTTTTCAGACAGAAAGCCATTTCAAAAAATAAAGCTGTCATATTTCTGTTCATACAATAGACCACTCGCTACATAAAGCGGAACATCCCACAAACACTCTGACTAGTGCAGTCACAGCACATCAGTTTCAAATGCCACTGCAATTGTCAAGGCTAAACAATTGCCAAATTGAATTTTTACTCATCCTTTTACTTCTTGGACAAGAGCTGTGGTATTTAATCAATCTAGCCTTAAAATTCAAGCTTTACAACACTAGGAAGTTTACCAAGAAGATGAATAACTGAGCATGGGTGGGCTCGTGAACAGCTGGCCTCCCTGAAGAGGCCATGCCTTCTCTCCGGTGCACCACCACCTGCCTGCCCTTCCCGTCCCATATCCTGATTCTCCTTGCAACAGGCAGAGGGAAAACCCAGATGAAATTCTTGTCTGCAGCCAACTTCCACCCAAACCCAGGAGATAGAAATGATGCAACTGGCCAGTGAGCAAGTCAAACAACAGCTCCACAAGCAAGGCATTGTGCAAGCTCGATTCTGCAGCTGCCCTCTAACGTGGCATCTCCATGATGACAGCCACTGGCAGCACAGTGCAGTTTATCTCAACAGGAAAAATTTCTCAATACTTGAAATCGTATGCACAAGCGATCAGTAAACAGTTTGACAGGGTCAAGAACAACAACTACTGAGGAGTTGCAATTCTCTGTTCTGTTAGAATTTTAGATGCATAGTTTAACTCATCATTTTCTACTAAAATGTCCGCTTGTGTATTTTGCTTAATTAAACACTCAACAGCTGGCAGCATCTAATCCACTCCTACCACAAGCCTAGCACCTTACCTAAATTAGCGTCTACACAGATCTACTCAGTCTTACCTACAGAACAAATTAATTTAGGTTTTGACACAAAAGGTTCAAGAAACTTCATAATGAAATGCTGTCAGTCATATCAAATTAAATAACACTCACGGCATAGCCAACTTTCAGTATCTCACGCACAGCTGAGCTCAACTTACTACGCTTCACAGAGATGAAGTTTTCATACTGAAAGTTACACACGATTTAATTGGAGTGTTGGGATCTTTATCTTCTTTAATTCAGAATACCAAGATTTACAAAATGGAGACACCAGCATTTCCACTGTGTAGATTATCTATTTGTCCTCAGAGTACAGAAAGGGACCGAATGACTTCTTAGAGCAGACAGAGGTTTAACTGGGTAGCAAAGGGAATGATACCATCACTTTTCGACAAACAACTTTTCACAAGATAGTACATGATCTCAGGACCCATCACTAGCTCATCATTCATCTCAGGCTTCATCATTAGCAACTTTCTATGGTTAATTAGGTTTTTTGTCCCCCAGGTACTAATTACAGCTATGTAGTTGCTATTTTGCTGACCACTGCTGTGTAGTTTGGTGAATTATTCTAATGACTATAAAAATTATACATCTGGGTCAATAAAGAATCCTGTTCCTAAACCTCTGGAGACAGTAATACAAGGAGTAGTTTGTGTTTTAGTCAGATACAACTTAATTCTATTAGACTTTTAATCATGAGGAATTATCACGTATAAGTATATACTTTGAGTTGTCGGTTTTAACCATTTTGTAGTCATTTCCTTGTGACATCAACATTATGATACCAGGATTAAAAAATTATTTTCTGATGCTTACAGAGAAAACTCTTGCTGACAAACAGAGCTCAATTGGTGTACTTGCTCATATGATACTCATGCTTGATTTGTAATAGAGTGGTGGCACTCCTCTCTCAAAGTGCTGTCTGAGCTTTCTGAAGGACAGACTAAAGGATCTACCTTATAATCCTGTAAGAGCGAAGTCTGAGGACCTCAGTGAGACATCCTTTGGTAACACAGTGAGGGACCTCAAGAGCAGAAAAAGATCTTAATGACAAACCAAACAACAGACCAGCATTTCAGGACAACACAAGTGATTTTCCACCTTCTATGGCACTATCTCATTGCTACAACTGTTTCATGCCTTCTCCTGATCTGTTTTTATATTAGGATATAAGGAAATATATTGGACAGTCTAATGCAATGTATTGCAGCAAGAACCACTCTGCTGTAGGAGAGGAGGTTCACATGACCAACACCAAGAACACAAGCCTGCAGGGAGAAAAGGACACATACTTGTTTCTCTCCCTTATGCATTGCACAATCTTCTTGAGGTTTATCAAAGGTATTCCTCTGCAAGCCAGAAGAAATCTAAAAAGGCAGTCATTTAGAAAGGAAGTTGGATGGCTTCCTTTATTTTCTTCAGATTTCAAAGCAGTCTGTCAAACTCATAAGCGTATTTGCAGGCCCTTGCTAGGTTGGCAGCAATGAGTTTTCAAAACACAAACCAAGAGTCCTAATAATGCTATCTAAATCATGCTTTCTGTAAGGAAAGCAAGAAGAGCGCACATCCTTTATTCCCTAATGTGCAACAGCAAGCTTGTTCCATCCTGCAGCAGTGCTCACCCCTCAACGTTCACTTACGCTTTGTTGCAATGTATCAGATGTCCAGGCAAGCACATAGAGGAAAAAAATCCAGTTTTCCTGCAGTGGCTTAGTTGCCACTTCCAGGTGTGCATTTTATCTCCATTTAAGTCAGTAACCTCAGAAAAGGATTGTCAGAAGAAATTTTTAGTTGTTTGAGTGCACAATCCAGTTACCTCTGCTTGTTATCCTTGCTGACAAAAACAGAGTGCCATAGTTTGTCTGGTATTTCTCTTTTAATGAGGTACACCAATTTTAATTCCACATGTTTATTATCAGTTGACAAAGATGGAAAAGCTGTTACAAGACTTTAAAAAAAAAAAAACAACTCACAAACAGAAAACTTCCACAATACACATCTCACCTGGCCATGGTATACACACATAGATTGCTGCATCCAAGATGCTTTAAATAGGTCAAGGGAACTGCATCTTGGGGTCTCCTAACTACAAAGGAAATTCAGACATTCATATCCCAGACAGTCAACCAGTATTTGCTCAGATAAATACCATCCTCTATATTCCCCCTTCAGACTTCCTACAGAAACTGTGCACCCCTGAAGTACCCTACCACCACCCTCCTCACAGCACCAAGCCTGAAGTATTTTAGGTGGCAGCAGAAATTCAGAGGCAGCTTGATTTATCAGGCATCTACTGTTAGCCTGATTAGCAAATGCATTCCTAAATTCCAAGTTAGGCAGTACAACTTGATAGATTGCACTTCTAATGGGAAACTTATCAAGCTTAAAGATCAGACCCTAATGCTTCAGTTTATGACACACTTAGAGGGAAAGAGCCTGAACTTTTGTACGGATTTTCCCCCCAATGAGGCAAAATTCAACTCATACTGCTGGGAAGAAGCCAAGTCCTCTCTATGCACACATTTCAAGCAGCTAATTAGGTATGTGAATAAACTTCACCTTCCCTTGGATCATCTGATACATACAACATGAAATGTCTTTGAAAGATACTTTTAGTAATGGTCATTGTTTCATCATTCAATCAGTTTTAAATGCTATGTCATTAGAAATCAAAACTCATATCCCTTGCCTTAACCCATTCCATGCATTCCCCCTTTTCCATATTCAAGATTTTTAGTTTCAACACAAGGGAATGCCAGTCAGTTCTTTCTTGACACTAAAGATCACTGGGGTGTACAACTTAGATTACTTTCCTACAAGCTAGAAATATCAGGACTAGCAGGTTTTAGCACTTCAAGAAGTGGATTTTTCGAACTGCAGTTACGAGCACCAGCTCTCCGTCCACCATACAGACACCACGTTAATGGCACTTGCAGCACAGCTGAATTTAACAGCAGAAACCAACGAACTCTACTGTATGCACAGCACATGGCATAAAGCAGCTGTTCAGGTTTTACCAGCCATTTGCAGCCACCATATTCCTTTTTTTCCATTTCTACACAACTGGCAGAAGTTAACACCAGCCACATTAAGTTACATGCCACTCCTAACCACCTGGAAGAGCTGCGTGCCATCGAACAAGCCAGAGTGCACAGGTACAAGTCAGGATTTTAAACTTAACATTTCTATAAGAAAACAGGATAAACTCTCCTCTTCCTTTCACTGAAAATCCCACTTATGTTTTTTAGACCACCTGATCTACACCAGTAACAGAGAAAGCTTTAATAGCACAGAACCCTTACCAGGATGAAAAACATGAGTCTTTCAAAGGATCAGTACTCTCACTGAAATGCAGATCTTCCCTAAGGATCTTCCTTTATAATGATCTTTATGAGGACTGGAGCCACAGCATTGACTGTTGCCAACACTGTGGCCACCATACCTCACCATTGCTTACAACCAACACCAAGTAGAGGGCTAAGCCTCTGAAATATCAGTGAGATTTTACTGGCTTCTTTTTAAAAAGGCAAATCTAGGAGCTTGACCCTGAGTATATCATAATGCCAAGTAAACTGTCAGAAATGGAGTTGAAAAGGCAAGAAATGGACCCTCTTTGACAGCACTACTGAAACACACATGAAGCTGGGCCTTGATGATCTTCTTGGAATTCCGAGAACAATAGTAATAGATGTATTTCTCTCTTCCTTGTGGTAGGATGATATACAGCAGGTACCTGACAAAATCTTGACAAGGTAGTAATGGTAATATCCCCTCTCTTAGCAACATTACCAAACCAATAGTGTAATATATATCCAACAACTACAGCTAGAATTTTCAGCCTCAGTCTGACAACAGGTCCATAGAGCTATTTGCCAAATTGTAGCACAACCTGAAGATAGTACTGATCTGTTCCAACTACAAGCAAGCTACTTTTACAATATATTAAATATACACATGTAATCTAACTGCATAATAATCACTAGGAGATCTTAGCAACAGAAGGCAGCTTCAGCCCTGCAGCACTATGCCTGACTATGAAGTAGTCGGTCAATGCAACAAACTCTCCATGCCCCCACTGATGGTCCAAAGTCTGATGAACCCAACGACAACAAATGCCAGCAATGCACATGGCAGCCAAAACGTGACTTTTGTGGCAAGAGTGCTGCTACTGGTAGTCCACATAAGCACACAGTACTATTCACCTGCCATGACCTGCACTGCTGGAAGTTCCCAAAGCTGCATGAAGCATCAGGAAACTGGGGTACCGACCCTGAAAACACTAACATCTCTTAGCATAAAACAGAGACGGTGGTCTTTAGGGATACTGACAAAGGTTAGTGTTGACTCTTTTTCACCAGTGGAGTGGGACACGGTCAACTCCATCACACCTCCGTCTCTCTGATGCACAGGTCGACAATGCACACTCTGATGCACACCTCTCTGATGCACAGGTCGACAATGAAACTGTCTTGATTAATGATCATACAATTGAGCCTTGGCCACTTTAATTCTCCTGTGCTAGCACAAGGCTGCTGTGGATCTATACGTAACCATGCCAACATTAAAAAAAAAAAACAAACAGTAGGCCTGAACTCTTATCTTTTTCTACAAAAACTGTCTCCCCCATCAGATTCAGGTCAACTTTTCATAAGTCACTATTATCTCTCCTCCAATTCAATTCTAGATCATTTTTGGATTAACTTTATAGGCATCTTCCACATTACTTCTGCTTAACATGTGAAGTCCCTCCCATCTATTAATCAGGGTTGAAGAAAGCCACAATCTGTTAAATGCCATCTTCATACCGTAGCACTTTATACAGCTGGAGTTAGTTATTAACCTCTCCCCACTAAATCTGATTGCAAGCCTTCTTCATTTACACACTTACCCAATCAACATAACAGAGTAGTCTCTGCATACTGAGAACAATCAGTTAACAGGAAGGTTCAAAGTAATAATACACCCAAAATCACAGCATGACAGATGTGTGTAAGACACCAGGAAAAAAACCCAAACAAACAGACTCTGGGGTAAGAATAACACTATGCAGAATAGGAGAAGTTATCACTAGAGCCCCCAACCTTGGGAAATTTCAAGGGAATTTAAGCCAAAGATCTGTCAGATAGGGCATGACATAGTTGATTTTGCCATAGGGCAGAGAAGACAGAACAGGTAACCCTTGTTTACTATAGCATACTATAAAGTTCTTGCCTGTCATGACAGCCAGCTGGCTTCCTTACCTTCCTAACCAGAGTGTTGGCTCACAAAGTGCTTCAAATTAAGAGTTTCTGGGTAGGCTTCATGATTTTCTATTCTCAGTTTTTAAACTACGTCATACAAAGAAGTCACAATAGAGAAGTCTGATCTTTGCAAGGAAGAACAACAACAAAAACACAGAACAAATTGGAAAAAAAAAAACAACCCATACCACCCCACCCTCCCCCAACCACTTGAAAATAGC